TTAAGATTGTTCAACGATATCTTTGGAACCTAGAAGTATAGTTGTGCTAAAATTAGGTTTGTTAACAAGATATTTTTACCAAAAAAGAATGGAATTCCAATAAAAAAAGTCCTTCTAGCCCGAGTCTAAACAGCGACCTAAGGATTGCCAATTTTCCTACTACAGTCCTCCGCTCTATCAACCTTGTCACAAAGCCACAAAATGGAGCACCTGCCTTTTAAATTGGCAGCTGATGGAGAAATTTAACCCTTATGAGACCTTTATCCAACGTGGCTGGAATACGTCGTTGAGGAAAGAGACAAAACAAGAAATAATGCAATTCTTGGAGTCGACCATGTGCTCTCGATGAAAACGATTTGAAGAGAACCCAGAAGATTCTAGGTTCAACTTGTGGCTGGCTCGTATTTTTTCCCCCACGGTTTTATAACTCCTGTTATTAGAAAGATGAGCGCGTGTTTGCTTAAGATTGTTCAACTATATCTTTGGAACCTTGAAGTATATTTGTGCTCAAATTACATTTGTTAACAGGATATTTTGACAAAAAAAGAATGGAATTTCATTTAAAAAAAAAAATCCTTCGAGCCGGAGTCGAACCAGCCACCTAAGGATTGCCAATTTTCCTACTACAGTCCTCCGCTCTACCAACTGAGCTATCAAAGGCCTCAAAAATGATGTGGCGTTTTAGAAACACAGATTATTTACAGTTAAAAATAATTCATCAAGCATATCAGTTTGATCAGTCAAAGACCTTGTTACAAAGACAAAAAATAGAGCTCTTAACTTTTATAGATTGTTCAACTATATCTTTTGAACCTTGAAGTATATTTGTGCTCAAATTACATTTGTTAACAGGATATTTTGACAAAAAAAGAATGGAATTTCATTTTAAAAAAAAAATCCTTTGAGCCAGAGTCGAACCAGCGACCTAAGGATTGCCAATTTTCCTACTACAGTCCTCCGCTCTACCAACTGAGCTATCGAAGGCCTCAAAAGTGATGTGGCGTTTTAAAAAAACAGATTATTTACAGTTAAAAAATAATTCAGAAAGCATATCAGTTTGATCAGTCAAAGACCTTGTTACAAAGACAAAAAATAGAACTCTTAACTTTTATAGATTGTTCAACTATATCTTTGGAACCTTGAAGTATATTTGTGCTCAAATTACATTTGTTAACAAGATATTTTGACAAAAAAAGAATGGAATTTCATTTTTTTTTAAATCCTTCGAGCCGGAGTCGAACCAGCGACCTAAGGATTGCCAATTTTCCTACTACAGTCCTCCGCTCTACCAACTGAGCTATCGAAGGCCTCAAAAGTGATGTGGCGTTTTAGAAACACAGATTATTTACAGTTAAAAATAATTTATCAAGCATATCAGTTTGAAAACAATTTATAAGTGTTTGAATGTAAAAATCGACAACGCACAGGCCAGTACCAATGTAGACATGGACAGGGCCAGTGGCGCAATGGATAACGCGTCTGACTACGGATCAGAAGATTCTAGGTTCAACTCCTGGCTGGTTCGTGTTTTTTTTTTCCCCATAGTTTTATGACTCCTGTGATAGGAAAGATAAGTGCGTGTTTGCTTAAGATTGTTCAACGATATCTTTGGAACCTAGAAGTATAGTTGTGCTAAAATTAGGTTTGTTAACAAGATATTTTAACCAAAAAAGAATGGAATTCCAATAAAAAAAGTCCTTCTAGCCTGAGTCTAAACAGCGACCTAAGGATTGCCAATTTTCCTACTACAGTCCTCCGCTCTATCAACCTTGTCACAAAGCCACAAAATGGAGCACCTACCTTTTAAATTGGCAGCTGATGGAGAAATTTAACCCTTATGAGACCTTTATCCAACGTGGCTGGAATACGTCGCTGAGGAAAGAGACAAAACAAGAAATAATGCAATTCTTGGAGTCGACCATGTGCTCTCGATGAAAACGATTTGAAGAGAACCCAGAAGATTCTAGGTTCAACTTGTGTCTGGCTCGTATTTTTTACCCCACGGTTTTATAACTCCTGTTATTAGAAAGATGAGCGCGTGTTTGCTTAAGATTGTTCAACTATCTCTTTGGAACCTTGAAGTATATTTGTGCTCAAATTACATTTGTTAACAGGATATTTTGACAAAAAAAGAATGGAATTTCATTTTTTTTTTAAATCCTTCGAGGCGGAGTCGAACCAGCGACCTAAGGATTGCCAATTTTCCTACTACAGTCCTCCGCTCTACCAACTGAGCTATCGAAGGCCTCAAAATAATGTGGCGTTTTAGAAACACAGATTATTTACAGTTAAAAAATAATTCAGAAAGCATATCAGTTTGATCAGTCAAAGACCTTGTTACAAAGACAAAAAATAGAGCTCTTAACTTTTATAGATTGTTCAACTATATCTTTGGAACCTTGAAGTATATTTGTGCTCAAATTACATTTGTCAACAGGATATTTTGACAAAAAAAGAATGGAATTTCATTTTTTTTAAAATCCTTCGAGCCGGAGTTGAACCAGCGACCTAAGGATTGCCAATTTTCCTACTACAGTCCTCCGCTCTACCAACTGAGCTATCGAAGGCCTCAAAAGTAATGTGGCGTTTTAGAAACACAGATTATTTACAGTTAAAAATAATTCATCAAGCATATTTGTTTGAAAACAATTTAAAAGTGTTTGAATGTAAAAATAGACAAGGCACAGGCAAGTACCAATGTAGACATGGACAGGGCCAGTGGTGCAATGGATAACGCGTCTGACTACGGATCAGAAGATTCTAGGTTCAACTCCTGGCTGGCTCGTGTTTTTTTTTTCCCCATAGTTTTATGACTCCTGTGATAAGAAAGATAAGTGCGTGTTTGCTTAAGATTGTTCAACGATATCTTTGGAACCTAGAAGTATAGTTGTGCTAAAATTAGGTTTGTTAACAAGATATTTTTACCAAAAAAGAATGGAATTCCAATAAAAAAGTCCTTCTAGCCTGAGTCTAACCAGCGACCTAAGAATTGCCAATTTTCCTACTACAGTCCTCCACTCTATCAACCTTGTCACAAAGCCACAAAATGGAGCACCTACCTTTTAAATTGGCAGCTGATGGAGAAATTTAACCCTTATGAGACCTTTATCCAACGTGGCTGGAATACGTCGTTGAGGAAAGAGACAAAACAAGAAATAATGCAATTCTTGGAGTCGACCATGTGCTCTCGATGAAAACGATTTGAAGAGAACCCAGAAGATTCTAGGTTCAACTTGTGGCTGGCTCGTATTTTTTACCCCACGGTTTTATAACTCCTGTTATTAGAAAGATGAGCGCGTGTTTGCTTAAGATTGTTCAACTATATCTTTGGAACCTTGAAGTATATTTGTGCTCAAATTACATTTGTTAACAGGATATTTTGACAAAAAAAGAATGGAATTTCATTTAAAAAAAAAAATCCTTCGAGCCGGAGTCGAACCAGCGACCTAAGGATTGCCAATTTTCCTACTACAGTCCTCCGCTCTACCAACTGAGCTATCGAAGGCGTCAAAAGTGATGTGGCGTTTTAGAAACACAGATTATTTACAGTTAAAAAATAATTCAGAAAGCATATCAGTTTGAAAACAATTTAAAAGTGTTTGAATATAAAAATAGACAAGGCACAGGCCAGTACCAATGTAGACATGGACAGGGCCAGTGGCGCAAAGGATAACGCGTCTGACTACGGATCAGAAGATTCTAGGTTCAACTCCTGGCTGGCTCGTGTTTATTTCCCCCATAGTTTTCTGACTCCTGTGATAGGAAAGATAAGTGCGTGTTTGCTTAAGATTGTTCAACGATATCTTTGGAACCTAGAAGTATAGTTGTGCTAAAATTAGGTTTGTTAACAAGATATTTTTACCAAAAAAGAATGGAATTCCAATAAAAAAAGTCCTTCTAGCCTGAGTCTAAACAGCGACCTAAGGATTGCCAATTTTCCTACTACAGTCCTCCGCTCTATCAACCTTGTCACAAAGCCACAAAATGGAGCACCTACCTTTTAAATTGGCAGCTGATGGAGAAATTTAACCCTTATGAGACCTTTATCCAACGTGGCTGGAATACGTCGTTGAGGAAAGAGACAAAACAAGAAATAATGCAATTCTTGGAGTCGACCATGTGCTCTCGATGAAAACGATTTGAAGAGAACCCAGAAGATTCTAGGTTCAATTTGTGGCTGGCTCGTATTTTTTACCCCACGGTTTTATAACTCCTGTTATTAGAAAGATGAGCGCGTGTTTGCTTAAGATTGTTCAACTATATCTTTGGAAACTTGAAGACAATTTGTGCTCAAATTACATTTGTTAACAGGATATTTTAGCAAAAAAAGAATGGAATTTCAATTAAAAAAATGTCCTTCAAGCCGGAGTTGATCCAGCGACCTAAGGATTGCCACTTTTCCTACTACAGTCCTCCGCTCTACCAACTGAGCTATTGAAGGCCTCAAAATAATGTGGCGTTTTAGAAACACAGATTATTTACAGTTAAAAAATAATTCAGAAAGCATATCAGTTTGATCAGTCAAAGACCTTGTAAAAAAAAAAAAAAATAGAGCTCTTAACTTTTATAGATTGTTCAACTATATCTTTGGAACCTTGAAGTATATTTGTGCTCAAATTACATTTGTTAACAGGATATTTTGACAAAAAAAGAATGGAATTTCATTTAAAAAAAAAAATCCTTCGAGCCGGAGTCGAACCAGCGACCTAAGGATTGCCAATTTTCCTACTACAGTCCTCCACTCTACCAACTGAGCTATCGAAGGCCTCAAAATAATGTGGCGTTTTAGAAACACACATTATTTACAGTTAAAAAATAATTCAGAAAGCATATCAGTTTGATCAGTCAAAGACCTTGTTACAAAGACAAAAAATAGAGCTCTTAACTTTTATAGATTGTTCAACTATATCTTTGGAACCTTGAAGTATATTTGTGCTCAAATTACATTTGTTAACAAGATATTTTGACAAAAAAAGAATGGAATTTCATTTTTTTTTAAATCCTTCGAGCCAGAGTTGAACCAGCGACCTAAGGATTGCCAATTTTCCTACTACAGTCCTCCGCTCTACCAACTGAGCTATCGAAGGCCTCAAAAGTGATGTGGCGTTTTAGAAACATAGATTATTTACAGTTCAAAATAATTCATCAAGCATATCAGTTTGAAAACAATTTTAAAGTGTTTGAATGTAAAAATAGACAAGGCACAGGCAAGTACAAATGTAGACATGGACAGGGCCAGTGGTGCAATGGATAACGTGTCTGACTACGGATCAGAAGATTCTAGGTTCAACTCCTGGCTGGCTC